CTTTTCGAATAGTGCCATTGGATCTTTAATGTCCACCTGAACAAGTAGACGGAGCCTCAATTTAATGTCTAATCCAAGGGATGACCCTCCAACAATACAGTGCGTCCTCAGAAACTGTATGAGTTTGAATTTACAATGTAAATTATATCTTTAGGTAATGAGACGTTTGGGATGAAACAAGTCTTTACATTAATTCAACTTGGGTCCAATCCACATTACTATACTTTACTTCCTGTTGAATCTACTGAGTCCACAATCCCTGTTCTCACGAAAATGTCCCAGGGTATTGATCCATAGCCCCTCGATGTCCTCTAGGACCTCACTCAAGTGGCCATTATTAATATTTGAGCCTTGACAGTGAGTGTGGCTAGTATGGATCATTCCAATCTTAATCTCAGCTGAGATCAACTAAGTGCAACATGTAACAGCATTTGAACCTGCAACCTTCTTGCTTATAATGGCCTAGCACTGGACCGCAGTGGTGCCTTTATCCAATAGGTTAGAGAGAAGAAGCAATATTATCAATAGACAATCCTAACTGTTTCAACATCACAGACTCAACTAGAGTTTAACCCGAGAGATCAGGATTCAGTTTAAGCAAGATGAAAGCGAACTCCTCAGTCCGACAGGTCTATTTCATCATTTTATTAGATGACTGCATTTTCTAAAAAAAAGCTTACTCTACAGTTCACAAATCCAGATATATGAACTCCAGCATTTCCATTGTGTTTTAATATCACTTTCAGTGCTCTGCCATCACGTCCAGTTAGAGCACTCGCCTTGCAAGCGAGAGGACCCAGCTTTGATTACCGGGCAAGTAGAAACATTAGGCAAGTTTCCTTACTCCACATGCCTCTGTTTATACCTAGCAGTAAGTAGGAACGGTTGTCAGTGAATTGGTGGACCGCTTTTCTGAGGATAATAATCCCTTCAAAAAAACAATTAAAACAATAATAATAATTTGGTCACTCAATCCATGACTGTTTGTGGGACAGTGCTGTGCGCAATTGGCTGCCGCGTTTCGTCCACAAAATATGGAGTCAATTCAGTTTTCAGTATATTCTGTAAAGCGCATTGAGACAGCTCAAAGATATAAGGAGCTATATCAATGCAAAGATTGCTATCAGTTGTAGTAAAATTGAAATGAGCTCTTCCCAACCCTTTCTCGAACTTCGCAAATTAGCCCTTTGTAAAGATTTGTTGTTTCAGTTGTATAGATAATGTGTACAACCTATCAAGGTCATCATTCAGAACTCTGGAAGCAGATCAGCTCTAGTGGTTTATTCCTAAATTCCCCCTTTCCTGTTGATTGGGTTCCCATGTCTGATTTCTTTGTTTTAGAATGCTGAAAGCATTTCTTCTTCAATCACAGAGTACTAATGTAATGGAAAGTGCCTGATCTTGTTAATGTCAATTAGATATTGGCATTAGTTTCATGAGAAGCTTCATATCATCAGAGGTCCAGATCAGCTCCAATCAGTCTGCATTACAGTAAAGGTCAAGCTATGTCATCTGGGAGGAAAGGGCGAGGCAGGGATCAGTGGTAAGGAAAAAGATCACTATTTATTCAATGAACCACGCAATTCATTATTTGAGTATTATTTCAAGCCAGTAGTGAAATATATAAGTACATGATTGATGTTCTCAGGCTCAGACTGGGCCACATAGCTGCCAGACTTGCATATCAATGCCAGACCTATTGAGCTGACTAAGTTTATCTTTCTTGATTTTCTAAAGTACCCAACTCATCACACTGATAGTATATTCTTGAGAATAGTGTTGCTTTTCACATATAGGTAGTTATGAAAAGATTAACAGCAGAGATGAGCAAATGTTAAAGGCAGGCACTTGTATGTGTGAGTATTGTTTTTGACCCTGCTACCAGAATTGGGTGATGTGCCCCACAGCCTGTGCTCAAACGCAGGCTATTTGCTCGAGGTTTCCTGGAGCTCCAGAGTTGCAAGTTCATTTAATAAGAGTCAGAAACTTGAAGGGATGAATGAGGCTGTTTTAATGACACAATAGGTCAGATGCTAATCTCTGTTAATCGCCTGCTGCTCACAACCCAACTTCTTCTCTTCAACTGTGCCTTCAGCTCCCCTCTCGACTCTACCCCCTCCTCGCTCCCTCCCTTCCCTCTCCTCACCCTGCTCGGGTCCCAACCCAACTGTCCAGCGCCTTGGGACATCCTCCCAACGTGAAAGGCGCTCTATAAATGCAATCTTGTTGTTGTTGAAAGCTGGGAACGTGATTATCATCAGAGCAGAGCTCCAGCGGGTCGACCTGGGGCACCTCTAGCTACCTGGAGGATTTGTGCTCATACATTTAAGCATCGATATCACCCAGTTTAAGACCCATAATGTATTTTTAAAAACTGCAGAAAAAAGGCTTCCAAATTAAGAGTCCAAATTGGAGACCTGTAGCTCAGTGGTTAGAGCATTCGCTTTGCAAGCGATAGACCTGAGTTCAATTCCAGGCAGGGCGAAACCTTGGGCAAGTTTCCTTACTGCACACACCTAATAATAATCCCTCCAAAACCAAAAACAATAATAAATTGGTCATTTTCAATCTACGACTGTTTGTGGGACATTGCTGTGCACAATTGGCTGCCGCGTTCACCCACAAAATATATACAGTCAATTCACTTTACAGTGACTTCTGTGAAGCGCTTTGGGATGTCCTCCCGACGTGAAAAGCGCTATATCAAATGCAAGGATTATTATTATTATTATTAAGAGGAAATTTAAGAATTTTCCACAATTCTGCACAATCCTACTTTAGGCAATCATCTCATTCAGCTCCCAAGCCCTGCAAGCCAAAGCCCTAACGGGTAGGATGGTCCTAGCTGGACAAGCAGCTTTCTGCCAGTAAGAGCAGAATCTATCCTCTTCTACACTGAGTTCCTTCAAATCTCATTACGTTACCAGCTTGGTCCCAAAGGTATCAATAGAAAACTAGTAGGACCCCCCCCACCCACCACCACTGCCATCTCTTTCCGACACTCCCTCCTCTGCCTGCAGTATGAGCTGGAGAAGGAGATGGTACTGAATAATTGAGTAATCCAATAAACCTTACTTATAAAGCGCCTTCCACGCCAGTAGGGTCCAACAAAGCGCTTCACAGAATATACTGTAAAGTGAAGTGACTGTGTCATTTGTAGGTGAAACCAGCCAACTGCTAGTTGTATATAAAAATAAAACAAAAATAATAACTTAACAAGAACAATATTATATATTTATATAGTGCCTTTCGGGTCAGGAAAACATCCCAAGGTTTAGGACAGATTTGGCTGGAGGAGATGTTGACCGAAGACGCAGCCAAAGACAAAGGTTTTGAGACAATCCTTGAAAGAGGTGAGGGAGAGGGAGTCCCAGACTGTGGAGGCAGAAAGATTGGAGGCCTGATTCCCAATGGTTAGGTGGGGAAAGCGGAGGACTTGAAGCAAGCCAGTGCCTGTCGAGTAGAGGGAGCAGGCGGTTTGATAGAGTTTTAGAAGTTCACAGAGGTAGAGCGGAACAAAACAATGGAGGGATTTGAAGGTGAGGACAAGGATCTTGAACTCAATCCTCTGAGGGATGGGGAGTCAGTGAAGCCAGGTGATGTGGGAGAGGACACAAGCTGCAGCATTCTGAATGGTCTGCAGTTTGTGGAAGGAAGATTTGGGAAGTCCAGTGAGCAGAGTTGGTATCATCAATCCTGGATGTGATAAAAGCATGGATAAAGGCTCGCGGAGGTCCATGAATTATGAGATGCCTTTTTCATAAAATAATGGCTTGCAGCTCTTTACAAAACATAATATATCAGGAGTGAAAGTGACTGGTGTTATATAGGCAAAAACAGCAGCCAATTTGCACCATCTTCGTTCCATAAACATTGAGAAGAGCGGTCAAGAAATGTGAAATGAGGGGTACAATTGAACTGGAAGGAGGTACAAGGTACAGCACCTCCTGCTCTTTAAGCTCTATGCAGAGAGCTGATGTGACTCAAAGTCAACTATGAATTCCACACTAATTCACTCGCCTTTTTCTGGAAAATATCCTGTGATTTCTACTACTTAATCACAAAGTGTCTTTACTTCATTAGACCAAAAGTCTGAAGTAAAAGGGTGAAAATAAAAGTGCACAACCTGATTATTCTGTTAGTTGGTAAAAGGGTCTGTAATGAAATATTAGGAAAGTTGGTTTAAAATATAATGTTAAAGTGTAACGCGTTAGGAACTATTATTGAATATTTTAAGATCCATTCACCCCATAAATGGATATCTCCATCTCAGATTGTCTTACCTCTATGATATTCTGTTTTTCAAAGGCTGACTTCACACACTTGTCCATCCCTTCCATCTATGCCATTAGACCTCAGATCACTGGTTTAATCTCTTACTGAAATTTGAAGAATACTTCTATCATTTGAGTAAATAAAACCCAGCACCTCGCTCATTCCCCGGCTCAGGCTCCCATTCTGTTTCTGTAAATTGCTTTGAGATGTTCTCCCATGTGAAAGGCGCTATATAAGTGCAAAGTTTTATTGTTGTTAGTACAGAATCAGGCAGGTCATTCAAACACAGGCTTGGTTGTCCCCCCTACAGGTGGCAGATACCAGAGACTTTCAGAGGTGTCTGTATATCAGTCCTAGTCAGCAATCACTGTGTGAAAGTACAGTACTGCTCCATTGCTCATGCTTGGGTTCACTGTATTCCTACAGTAGCATCAGTGCACCCATGAAAGAAAGGAGCTGAGTTTCTCGCATTTGATTTAACGTTAGTATCAGGGTTAAAGGGGCTTTTTAAGGTAAAAGTTAGGATTATTTCTGAACTTGCCTATATATAAAAAAAATCACTTTAATTTCTCACCAATTACAGGTATATTTTGTAACGCACTTCAGACTTTTATTGTACCTGAAAGGCAGTATATTATGTTATTATGAAAGAAAAACACAACCTTAAATAAACCAGAAAGGCAACCAGACATTATTACACTTTTTAACGTAAAATAATTAAAAAGTTTTGAGAGTACTTTTTTTATTTTTCACTTGAAACAAATCTATTTCCACTGCACTTTAAGAACAATTGTATTTATATTCTATTTTATTGTTGAGAACCTGGGTTGAAGGGCCGTGGCCGAGATACAGTAGCACCAAGTTTGAATAGAGTAGAGGAGAAATGAGATACCTCAAGAAGTAATAGCTAGGTGACCCGCAGGTTTGGGTTTTGAAAGCCTGTAGAATTTATGAAGGGAAGAGTGAAGAAGAAAGAAGAGTGAGGAAAAAAGAAGGGAAAAAAGTGTAAGGAGTTCCATCATCTTCAGCAAAACCCAGAGCAGAGCAGACCAGGAATGAAAGAGGGTGAAAATGGAGATTTCTGAGAATAGTAAGCACTGAGTACCATTTTCCATTGTTCGTGTCTGTATTGCACAGAGGTTCCTTACATTGAGCCCCATATAGAAAGCTCTTCAAGCGACGCATGCCATAAAGTGCTAAAGAGAGAGAGAGAGAGGGAGGAAGCAAATAGCTCTTTTTGTTGTTTTTTCATTACAATATATGGTAGAGTCCTGCAAACAATTACAAATTATAAACAAGCTAAACTTCATAGGTTAACTATTTCGCTGTGATGAATTCATCCAGGTGTATAAGCCCTGCTCCCATTAGCCCAAAGGCAGGATACATGATACCCGAACATTCGACCTGCCTCTCATACAGACATTTCATGTTGTCTCCATTGTAGAAACTCACTTTCCCTTTGTCATAGTCCAGACAGACACCGATACGATCGGGCAGAGGGACAGTGCGGGCAAAATGTTCTGTCGATGAGCTGGAAGGTCCTTTTGGGATAAAGAGCTTCTTCATCCCCAGGGTAACAAAGGTGAAGGGTTGCGACAGGTCACTAGAAGTGTCTTCACTCCCGCTGTCGTGGCCACTGTCTTGGTCATACCTGTGAAAAGCAAGGGTTTACTTTAGTGAAGGAGGATAACAAGAAAAAGGAAAGTGTACTGGTGTCTCAGAAAATAATATTATTAAACAATGTTTCCATTCAACACTGAAATTGACATCAATGTTTTATCACAGAACTTATTGGTTTCTCATCTGAACACACAAAAGTTAAAAATGATACACAGATAAAGCACACAGAACAACCGAGGCTCACTTTCAAATTCTGCTGGTGCTTTCAGTGCTCAGTGCAGTTGCTACAGATGAGTTCTTGTGTGACTTACTAAGTGGCTGTGGAGGTATTTACTTAAGTGCAAGTTTCTGTTCAACCATATTGTTGATTCTAAGCAATAATACATGTGTGCACTTCATGTGCTGGAAGGATGAAAGGGAACAATGGTCAGAACAACGGACCTCAAAGCAAACAGCTCATCTTTTCTCCCGGCTACAGTCCACGTCTAAATGTTTGCTGTATCTGTCCCACTGGAACTATCTATCTTGAAGACTTTCTTTACTACAAATATGTTTATTACAGGTGAGGTAGGGAATTTTTGATAAGTTCATCCAAAGAAATGCATCAACAATTACCGATCAGCGCCTTGGGACGTCCTCCTGACGTGAAAGGCGCTTTATAAATGGAATCTTGTTGTTGTTGTTGTTGTTGATCGCTCCTTACAGAATTAAAGCGGTTGAAAATCTTTCTGTGCACATGGATTTGCACAAAGTTTACACATTGCACAATAATGCAGTTTGCACATAACAGACCCCCAATGTGCTTAGCGAGCTGTACATTAGCAGGACGGTTTCCATGGGAATGAAGAGTCCACTTCATACATTGTTTAAATCAGCACCATTGGAGTGTTTGCTCAGCAAGTTCACCACAGGACAGGAATGGCCTCAGCTGGGCTGCCCAGGGAGTCACACAGGCTGCCAAAACTCATCAATAAACAGCTGGTATCCCACAAGCCTGGCCCCAGCCTCTCTGGCTTCATATTTGGGAATGCAAAGGGAAATGGAAGAGGGAAATTCACCTGTGGTTTATCAAATGCGACAAATATCACATTGACTGCAAATTATTGACCGCATTCTCTTTTCAGCTTCACAGGACAAATCTTGAAGAACCTCAAATCAAAGTTTCAAAAATCTCAGAATCTATTCCTTTTTTATAGACTGAAGTCCCTCACACAGGGGCTAGTCAGAGCGCCACAATCACCACTTTAGTTGGACAGCTAGGTCGGAAGTGTTCAGATCTGATCCTCAACACGTATGTTCCTTCCCAGATTCGTTCCTTCCTCTCTCGCCACTCCCTTCACAAACCCCTCCAATCAGGTTCCTGTGCCGCCCACAGCACAGAAACTGGTCAAAGTGACAAATGACATTCTGACCATCTGCGACCAGGGCTCCCTCTGCCTCCTCGTCCTCCTTGACCTTTCTGCTGCCTTCGACACCATTGACCACTCTATCGTCATCCACCACCTCGCCTCTCATCTCAACCTTCATGGGTCTGTCCTTGAATGGTTCAGATCCTACCTCTCACACCGCCTCTACTTCATCTTCACAAAAGGTTTCTCCTCCAACCCCCGCACCATGACCCTCAACTATCCTTTCTACCCCACACCCGTACCATGACCTGCTCTGCCTTCCCCACCTCTGCAACATCACCCAGCTCCGCCACTGTCTCACACTGTAGGCCACCAAAAGCCTCATACACGCATTCATAACCTTGAGGCTTGACTAAGCAAACTCCTTGCTTGTCGGCCTCCCCAACTCTTCTATCCATAGACTGCAAATCATCCAGAACTCTGCAGCCTGTTACCTCTCCTGCACTAGGCTCCGTGACCCTATCACCCCCATCCTCGCCCGACTCCACTGGCTTCCCACCACACAGAGGATACAGTTAAAGATCCTGGTCCTCATCTTCAAAGCCCTCCACAGCCTTGCTCCCCTGGCCTCTGCGAGCTCCTAACCCCCTATCATCCTACCCATTCCCTCCACTCAGGCTCCGGCCTGCTTCACATCCCCCGCCTCACCCGCCTCACCCACTCTGCCCCCACCCTCTGCAACTCCATCCCACAGTTCCTCTACCTCGTTCCCTCCCTTGCCTCCTTCAAGACCCATCTCAAGACCCCCCTCTTCGACCTTGACTGTCCAGGGCCATGGGACGTCCTCCCAATGTGAAAGGCGCTATACAAATGTAATTTTGTTGGTGTAGCTACTTGTTTAAATGGATTATTCTGTTGCTTTCCTCCCACAAGATATCAAAGAATGAATTTAACTCATTCCACATTATTTCTCACTTTGAGATTCAGAAAATATCTGGGTTTTTTCATGCAGACAAGCAGGTAAAGGTTTTTTTTTGGAATTGTGAAATGATCAGAGGTTCTGAGGTACTGAATCTCAGATGTTGTTTTACTACTAGAGATTGGGTTCAAGTCGAGGCCAGACTGATATCTTCATTCTTGCTTAGTTATGAAGAGTATTAAGTGAAATCTGTATTTATATAAACAAAAGAAAGGCCTGCCCTCACCTGACATGCACTTATATATTCTCCCACCTCCCAGTCTCTGTAAACATTGCAAATTGAGATAATTCAGAATAAACTAGTTTTTTAATGGATTTATTTTTAATCCTTCTATCGCTGAGCTCTCACCACCACAGACATTGGTGGGATCCACAATTTGCAATGCTCAGTTAGCATAGCTGTCCCAAGGCTACCTGTCCCCTACCTACGCCCAGGCCACCTTTCTAACAGTTATAATGGGATTTCTCTTCACTCTGGGACCTCCTTACATCAATGTCAAGTAAAACTGGATAAGGAGGCAACAAGATAAGCAAAGCTACGTGCATCGATGTGCAAGTAGCTTTTCTCCCACTTTGTGTTCTCCCATTATAAATCAATGCTGTAAGCAGCCACATTGAAGGTAAAAATGCCACAGACCTGAAAATTCTCCAGGTCACAAGGTCACAAGATTGGCTTAGATGAAAAAGGCCCTTTGGCCCATTCAATCTCATCCTTCTAGAATACCCACCCTACCATCCCCCACCATAGCATCAAATTGCTTTTCAAATGAATCCAGTGTCCTGGCCTGACAAACTTTGCAGTCCTTAATATAGTGCCTTATCACGTCTTCGAGACGCCTCAAAGCACTTCACAGAATATACTGTAAAGTGAATTGACTGTATATTTTGTGAGAAAAACTCAGCAGCCAATTACACACAGCAGTGTCCCAGAAACAGTCATGGATTGAGTGACCAGTTATTAGTTATTTTTTAAGGGATTATTACCCCCGGAAAAGCGATCTGCCAATCGACTAACAACCGGGTTCCTAATACTACTAGGTAAATAAAGACATGTGGATTAAGGAAACATTTCGCCCTGCCCGGGAATCAAACCCCGGTTCTCTCGCTTGCGAGTCCTCTAACCAATATTCTACAGGACTCAAGTCATCAATAGCCTTAGCCTTAAGACCATAGTCTTAAAATGTAAGGTCATTGATCAATTTTTTAAAATTCTTTAATTATTGCCTTAATTTGGAAGATGATTTTGCAGAGCATCAGAAAACCCCCGAAACTTGCTCCAGACTGAGCTTGACTAACAGGATTCACACCTGCATAGTTCAGTCCTACACAAGGTTCTGCAGTTATCCAGGCGAGTTGAATGAAACATTTTTGTCTAAATAACTGGAAACAGATACAAATAGCTCCTTGTGTTAATTAGCAAAAGGAATGCATTATGAAAAATGCTGCAATTTTAACTTATGATTTCATCAGGAAGTATCAAAAGTGTGTAACGTATGAGGATATGGGTACGCTCTGGACCCCCCAAAAAATCTATAGACATTAGCAATTCCTAGATGTTATCATCCTCAAAATATTCTCTCATTGTAAATAAAGGAAGAGGAATGTCAGCACTATCTTCACATTCTCTCAAAAAGCTAGCAACACCTCGACTCTATCTCATATGGTGCTCAGCAGGTAGCTCACAAAACATGGTATACTGACTGCATTGCAGTGGGTGTGCCCCTGTGTCCTTGACAAAATGACTGGATGCTTCTTAGGAAATCGGCAGAAGCAGAGCTCTGATGACAAGTCACTCTGCTCACAAAGCAGCACAGCTGCATTGCATACTCCACAAGGGGACAGGAGTCAGGCAAATATAATAACTCCACACAGAAAGGCTCTTTCACCATCACCCAAGAAAAGACAGCTGCTTGTGACTGGGGGCTGTAATAATGCACAGAGTAACACACTCATGCACAGATTGACTGACCTGAACTACTCTTTGTTAACCATCCCTCCCCTCCCCCAGCAGTACATAGTAATGATTAATATGAATTATATTTTGGGGGGTAACTACTTCACATTGAAGGTAGATTTATTTTCATATAGTTGGGGTCAAATTAGTGACATTTCTGAATATTGACTCCAAGGTCCAAATAGAGCACACGCTGATATCTGGAAATGCATCATATTGGCTCTTGCGAGCTTTGCCTGATATAGATCACGGTCACCTGACCACTTCTAGATACGGGTAGGATTCCCTATTTGGGACTCGGAGCCCATCTCTATCCTCAAATGACATCCACACACACACACATACAAACAAACACACGTTTGTATACGTGGACATCAATTGAGAACACTGGAAAGCAGTCACCAGAAAGAAAACCTGGCCTTCCTAGTCTCGGGGCACTGAAGCCAGTGGTAATGCTGTCCTGGAGATGAGCTAACTCAGTAGACACTAGGAATGTAAACATGTTAATTGGATTTTTGTTGAATCAGTGAAATTGAGGCTGAAGCAGAGCTTGCAATAAAGAATAATGAGGCATTGCCAATGAGTGACATCAAGAATAAAACACAGTGCAAGTCATTGCCAGAGCACTGCTAACTGTAGAAGCTTTCACGAGGCCCTTCTGTTCATTTGATCTAATTCTTCCAGAATACCTACCCTACCATCCGCCCATCACAGCATTAAGCTGTTTTTCTTAAATGAATCCAGTATCCTGGTCTCAGCCATACTTTCTGGTAATGTGTTCCAGTCGTTATTTATCCTACAAACAGTCAATATATTTATTGTGGAGTCCTGTAGCTCAGTGGTTAGAGCACTCGCTTTGCAAGCGAGAGACTTGAGTTCAATTCCAGGCAGGGCGAAACCTTGGGCAAGTTTCCTTACTCCACACGCCTAATAATAATCCCTCCAAAACCAAAAACAATAATAAAATTGGTCATTTTTAATCTACGACTGTTTGTGGGACATTGCTGTGCGCAATTGGCTGCCGCGTTCGCCCACAAATAAACAGTCAATTCACTTTGCAGTGTGTTCTGTGAAGCGCTTTGGGACGTCCTCCCGACGTGAAAAGCGCTATATCAAATGCAAGGATTATTATTATTATTATTATTATTATCCTTTGGGTAAAGAAACACTGCCAGGTATCTGTCCTGAAATTGCCCTTTGCAACCTTAAATCTATGTTGTCTTGTTCTAATGAAGTGGTAGCCAAACTGTGGCCCGCAGAGCTGTCAAGAGTGCCCACCTGAACATTCGCACGAGTTGCCATAAGTTCATGTTCAATTGGTACGGTGTTTCCATTTCTTCATGATTGAATATTTCTTGATTTGTGGCATAAATCAAATGATATTCAACCAAGAAAAATCATTTTGTTGGCTGAACCTAAAGATTGACCATCACTGTTCTACTGTCTCGGTGGGGTGAAAATCCCCCCTAAAGACCTTCTTTTTTGATCGGGCTTATGGTCACCTCCCCCTTCCCTGGCTCGGGGTCAGACTTCGCCACTGTCAAGTGCTCTGGGACCCTACCCCGTGTGAAGGATACTATATAAATGCAAGTTGTTATTGTTGTTGCTCACAGCTCATTCCTCTAACAGCCCTCGCTCTACGTCCCAGTGACCAAATTGAATGCATTACTCTAAATGTGCTTTGACCAGGACACTGTACAGCTTAAGTTCTAGGGATCTGAATTCAACTACGAGAGAGATCTGAGTTCAATTCCAGGCAGGGCGAAACCTTGGGCAAGTTTCCTTACTCCACACGCCTAATAATAATCCCTCCAAAACCAAAACCAATAATAAATTGGTCATTTTCAATCTACGACTGTTTGTGGGACATTGCTGTGCGCAATTGGCTGCCGTGTTCACCCACAAATATACAGTCAATTCACTTTACAGTGTGTTCTGTGAAGCGCTTTGGGACATCCTCCCGACGTGAAAAGCACTATATCAAATGCAAGGATTATTATTATTATCGTTATTATTATTATAACTACAGTAGTTTGGCAATATATCCCCGGATCCTGTTTGACTTGTTTATTGCAGCCTCACACTGTTTTGACATAGTGAGCAATGAGTCAACTAACACCCTTAAATCTCTTCTACTTTCTCCTTTGAGGTTTGCGAGTTCAAACCCTGCATTGGAACTTTATAAAGAAATCGATATGATCAGAAAAGAGGGAATCTTGAGGATATTGACTATAAACACAGTCAAAGAGAGAGGTTTTTAAGAGAGTTTGGCTTCTGAAGGCAGCCGATGTGAAAATAATGTGCGGAATAAAGCTGAAAATCAGACTGTACCAAATCTCCACAAGATGTTTCAGGAACATTGAGGAGAGAGAGTTGTGACAGCAGTAGCCTTATTAGGCGATGGAGCACCAACCTGGGACTGTTGATATCTCTCGGACTGTGAAACCACTCCTGCAGTTTTGCATCGGACGCCACACCAACCTTCACCAGGTACGCAAAGGACTCCACCTGGAAGGCCCAGTAGTATTTGCCTTTTGTCACTCCTGTATCCCCGATAATGAAATCCAGGGACATGTAGCTTCCCACGACAATGCGCTCCGCACCCAGCAGCAGGGGAAGACCAGCCACGCTCTCCACAGAGTCTCGCTGTTTGCTCAGCACCAGGCGGTCACAGTTGTAACCACATCTTTCGTCAAACAGAAACCTAAGAACTGGGTAACAAAACAAAAAGAGAATCATCAGTTGGTTTTGGAGGATGAAAAATGCAACATGTGATGTTATCACCGGTGAAAGTTATCACATCAACCAAATTAGGTCAAAATCAGTTATTTTCAGATATTCTTTACATTGGCTGTTTCCAAATCTCAGACCATCTTAAGAAGTTAATAGTTATCACTGGCCTCAAGAGGGGCCGTTAAACCTCACTTGGTTCCAGAGACCATGCTGTGCTATTTGGATAGTTTTGCCTATTCATAACGTTGCCTTGTTTTTGTTCACTGGAGTGGAAGGAAGCAGTACTGAACTCCGGTTCAGCAACTAACACTGCCAACTGAGTAAGCCAGTAATGGTGGAAAGACACAAAATAAAGTAACAATAATAAAAAATAATGGTCTTTGCAATTGATGCAGCAACTTTCACGTCTGGAGGAAGTCTCAGAAAGTTTCACAGCACTCACTGTAAAGTGCAATTGGATGTGTATTTTTGTAGGACAATGCAGCAACCAATGTCACACAAACAGCTATGAAGTGAATGATTAATTTTATCTGGGGATTGATGACCAGATCACTGGGAGAAATTCCCTTCTCTTTTCAAATAGTCCATGGGATTTTTAATGTCCACCTGAACAGGCAGATGGGACCTCATTTTTACGTTCATCTGAAGGAAGGCATTTGGACCAATGCAGAAAAGCACACCCTGACATTTCACTAGAATGTCAGCATAGGCTGTGAGTTCACAATGCTGACGTGGACCACCCTCTGGAACTCCATCCCACAAGACAAGACAAGATTCCATTTATTGAGCGTCTTTCACGTTGGGAGGACGTCCCAAGGCGCTGGACAGTTGGGTCAGGACCCGAGCAGGGGGGAAATGGTCAGGGTGAGGGGAGGGAAGGGAGGGAGCGAGGAGGGGGTAGAGAGTCGAGAGGGGAGTTGAAGGCACGGTCAAAGAGAAAGGTCTTGAGACCGGCCTTGAAGGAGGAAAGGGAGGAGGCGGCGAAGGCACTGGGGGATGGAGTTCCAGAGCCTAGGGGCTGAGAGGCTGAAGGCCCGGCCACCGATGGTAGGGCGTTCGGGGCGGGGGATGTGGAGCAGACCGGAACCAGAGGAATGGAGGGTACGGGCAGGTAGGTAGGGGGATAGTAGGTCGGAGAGGTAGGAGGGAGCGAGGCCGTGAATGGCCTTGTAGGTGAGGGTGAGGATCTTGAATTCGATCCTCTGGGGGATGGGGAGCCAGTGGAGGCGAGCGAGGGTGGGAGTGATGTGGTCCCGAAGCCTGGTGCGGGACAGTACACGAGCTGCAGAGTTCTGAATGACCTGCAGCTTGTGGAGGGAGGTGCCGTGAAGGCCGGCGAGGAGAGAGTTCCCATAGTCCAGCCTTGAGGTGATAAAGGCGTGGACCAGTGATTCAGCCGCGTGAGGGGTGAGGTAATGCCGTCGTCTGGAGACATTCCGGAGGTGATGGAAGGCGGTGCCAGTTGTGGCGCGGATATGAGGGAGAAAGGACAGCTCAGGGTCAAACAGAACCCCGAGGTTCCTGACCGGCTTTGAGAGGTGGAGAGTGCAGCCTTGGATGCTGATGCTGTCAGCGCCTGAGGTGCGGAGGCGCTGATGCGAGCCAATCAGGAGGGCCTCAGTTTTGCGCACGTTGAGCTCGAGAAAGTTATCTCTCGTCCAGGACTCGATGTCGGACAGGCAGCTGTCAGGACATCGGTGGTCGTGGAGTTGAGGGTAGAAGAGGAAAGGTAGAGTTGGGTGTCATCTGCATACATGTGGAAGTTAACCCCATGTCTGCGGATGATGTCACCAAGGGGGAGCATATAGAGGGTGAAGAGGAGGGGACCGAGGACAGAGCCTTGAGGGACACCGCACGAGACAGTGCGGGGGCCGGAGGAAAAACCATTTGTGGAGACAAAGTGGAGACGTTGGGAGAGGTACGACCTAAACCACTCAAGGACAGGGCCTTGAAGGTTTAGGTGGGAGGACAGGCGGTGGAGGAGGATATGGTCGACCGTATCGAATGCTGCCGATAGGTCGAGGAGGCAGAGGGAGCTCTGGTCACAGATGGTCAGGATGTCATTGGTGACCTTGACCAGGGCAGTTTCTGTGCTATGGGCAGCACGGAAACCCGACTGAAGGGGTTCGAATAGTGAATGGTTGGAGAGGAAAGAGCGCAGCTGGGAGGCGACAACTTGTTCCAGGACCTTGGACAGGAAGCGGAGGTTGGAGATGGGCCGGTAGCTTGATAGCTGCGACGCATCAAGGGAGGGTTTTTTTAAGGTGGGAGTGATGGTGGCAGTTTTTAAGGGAATGGGAATAGAGCCAGAGGAGAGGGACAGGTTGACGATGTCTGTGATATGTGGGGCAAGGAGGTGGAGCTGGGAGATAAGGAGTGGAGTGGGGATGGGGTCAAGGGAGCAGGTGGTGGGTTTAAGGGATAGGATGAGTTTGGTGCCAGAGGGTGGGGAAACGGGTATGAAGGTGTGTAGGGGAGGATGGGTAGGAGTCGGAGTGTGGGAGGGAAGGGGTGGGTGGTGGGTGGATGTTGGAAGGGAAGTCCCTCCGTCTCACCTCCTCCCTCGCCACCTTCAAGACCCACCTCAAGACCCTCCTCTTCGACTGTGGTTTCGATCTCCCTGCTTCCCCACCTGCCCTCCACCCTCCCCCTAGCTCGAGTCCGTAATTCTGTCTGTATAGTGCCTTGGGACGTTCTCTCGAAGTGAAAGGCGCTTTACAAATCTAATTTTGTTGTTGTTGTTGTTGAACCCACAACTTACTGACTCAGAGGTGAGAGTGCTATCAACTGAGACAGGCTGACATCTATGGATAATAACTCGTAAAAAGTTGGCAGGTACAAAATGATCAAACATGTGCCACTGGGGTTTTACATGTGGTTATTTCCATCGTGATTTACCATTGATCTGAAATTCTCAAGTACAATAGCAAAGACATCAAATTGGATTTATATAGGATAATGCTCCAGAGCACTTTACAATGACAGCTTCTGATACTGGGTGAATGAATGGGAGGCTACCATATGACCAATGGTGGCGTAGAATGGATGAGGAATACATAGCAAGCTTGAGTTAGCTGAGCAGAGGGGTGAGCAGAGGTGTGTGGTTGGGAGAAAATCAGAGCTATAGAGGTGCTTGGATGTGAAGGGATCTTTCGATGGGTGAGGACCTTGAAATCGATCCATTAGGAGATGAGGAGCCAGTGAAGACTGGTGATGGGCAGGCATAGTGTGGGTAAGAATTCAAGCAACAGAGCTTTGAATAAATTGAAGTTTATGGATAGTGGAGCAAGGAGATCAGCAAGGAGGCATTTGAATAGTCCAGGCAGGAATTATGCAAATTCCATTCCAAAGGGATCCACTTTTGCAGTGGAGCTCCCATAGGTCAGTGAGACTTGGGGGATGTACTTTCATTACTGGAAGGACTCCCCGGGCATTGGCCTGCTCCATATTCACCACCATGCCCACTTCACCATTGGACCCTCTGCCTTTTAGCTCCCTCCATCCCGGAATCCCTCCGCCTCACCCCCTTCCTTGCTTCCTTCAAGGCCCTTCAAGTCTCAAGGCCTCTCTTTTTGACCATGCCTTTGGTCATTCTTTGACCCCCAGCCCACTAACCCTCCACCCCGCTTAACTCCAACCTTGAGCTCAGATGCAAACCTTCACTGTCCAGCACCTTGGGACATCCTCCTGCCGTGAAAGATGCTATATAAATTACATTTGTTGTTGTTTAATTAAAAGACACAGTCAATCCACTTTGCAGTATATCCTGTGAACCGCTTTGAGATGTCTCGACGATGTAATAAGGCACTATATGAAATAATAATTATTATAATTATATTAACCATGTTCACTGAAGCAAGAAAGAGCAGGGTGACAGACTAAAGAGATATTTAAAAGGAAATTATAAACTTGCTGGGTGTGGCAGATCATAAATGGGTGTCCTGGGAACTTTCTGTGAAGTCTTTCATCTTCCTGTTCCTCTCCTCCTTCACAGGCAACACAAAGGGTTGGGTTGCACTGCCTGAACCTGTGATCTCAGTCCAAAAATCATTAGAGGAGATGCCAGGAGCAGACCAGCCACTCCCTCAGAGGGAACACAGAGGGAAAGTGAGTTATTTATGAATCAGGTGAGACTCTTCAAAAGGCCTCCGAGTAAGAAGGTTGTAGGTTCAAGCCCTAAATAAGAATTTTCATCTCACAGCCTAGGCTGATGCTCCAATCGTGCTGGGGTGTGCTTCATTGTTGGAGGTGTCATCCTTTGGATGAAATGCTACAACAACAACTTGCATTTATCTAGCGTCCTTCACACCGTACGGCGTCTCGGAATGCTTAACCAAACTTTAACTAAACCAAAGTCCTGTCTGCTTCTTCAGGTAGATGTTAAAGATCCCATGGCATTATTTGAAAAAAAGGACATTTCTCCCAGTATCTTGGGACAAAAAACCCTCAAATAAAAATTACTCGTTCACTTCATGGCTGTTTGTAGACCAATGCTGTGTGTAAATTGGTTATCGCATTCACCTACAAAAATGTACAACAACTGACACTTACATAGCGCCCTTTTCATAGGGTAGCATCTCACAGTGACCATTCTTTACAATGACTCCTGTAAAGCGCTTTGAGATATCCTCCTGCTGTGAAAGGTGTTACAGTATATCAAATGTAAGGATTATTATTAGGAATGGGGTGATTATTTTGCAAACATTTTGCCTAGAAAATTCTGCATGTTCAACGTAAATAGATTAGCACAAAAACACACAAGGCAACTAATTTTTGCCACACAGATTCAGCAGGAAATCACGAATAGAATCCCTTTCTCATGGATTTCAAACAATGCTCGTTCCTCCCTGTCAAGTCATTTGCAAGACTCTCACATCCATTCTTCCTTAAATCTGAGCTGGAGGCCCATACCTGGCTCTAGATATCCACCACTAGGGGGCCCTGTTGGTTGTCTTCTCAATAACTGAAAAGGAACATG